GCGTTTCTGGCATGTTACGTTTTCTGTTAGTACCTGCTGGCAGGGACAGACCTGGCAATGGCATGAGAAGGAAGCCCTGCATGGTAAAGAACAGACTTTATCCCACTCTGTAAACATTTCTTCATTTGGGTTGTCTGGCTCTCATTTCTAAGAGTTAGGTGCTGTGTTTGTTTCTGTTATGGCACAAAGATGAGGCACCAGGAAGCCTTGGGATTATAATGTAAAAGGGCCTTCAAGATCACATTTCTAAAGGTCAGAGACTAAGGCAATAATTCCAAGTGTCACTTGGCCCTCAAATGAGCTTTCATTGTGATGGATTATGACATAATCCATTGACATGATAAGGTACCTATTATGTTACCGAGGCGGCTGGCTGAAATAATAGGATTTTTTTTATGATCACAGTGGTGAGTCTTTCGCGTATTACTGGCTTCATAGATAGATAAATATAACTTCTATTTGTTGGGACTCTGGAAACTGCAACTGTGCCCCCAAAGCAGGGTACCTTCCCAGGGTGAGCATGGTAAATTAACAACAGTGGAAGGCCTTAGAAACTTGGACCCAAGGTGTCTCTCTCCTCTGACCTTGAACACTGAAATCAGCTATTGCTCCCTCCCTTTTCTTCCTTCCCCACTTCCTCTTCCTCCTTTACATTTCTTCTCAAGGGAAATGTCTCCCCCCCCCCCACCCCCCCAACCTCCCACCCCCAATTCACCAGAACCAAAGAAGTGTGTGTTTCATTTTAACAGGCAGTTTGATGAATATACATGATATAAACAGCCTCATCAAATAAGGTGAAACCCTGTTTTGACTTCATTCATTTATATGAAACTCAGTACTTTGCACACTGGCCTAAAAAAGTTAGTTTCCTAGATTGCTTTGTATGGCTGTGATAAAATACTGACCAAATCAACTTGAGGGAGAAGGGGTTTATTTCATCTTACAAGTTACAGTCCAGTATCAGGGTAATTGAGGCAGGAATCTGGACGCAGAGACTGTAGAGGAACCACAGATGCTTACTGCCATGGCTTGTTCAACCTTGGACCACCTTCCCAGAGATGGCACCAGCCACCTATCAACCATTACCAAGAAAAAGCCCTACAGGTAGGCCTGCAGGCCAGCCTGATGGAGGCAATTCCTCAATTCAGGTTCCCTATTGGGAGGTGACTCTAGTTTGTGTCTAGTTGACAAAAAACAAAACAAAACAAAACTACCCAGCATAGTTAGTAATTTAAAAAAAGAAAAGATCTGTTGATGCTAGAGAGATAGCTCATTGGAGAGGAGTGCTTGCTGAGTTTGCATCCCAACACCATTGAGAAGTTCCTCAGGGTACACTGCTCCTATCACCCTAGTTTTGGAAGTTGCTGGGTGGCAGGGCTCAGGGATAGGAGGACCGCTGGAGCCTGTTGTCTGCCCAGTGCAGGTAGCTCCAAGTTCAGTGAGAGACCCTGCCTCAAAAAGCAGTGAGTCAGGAAGTGACACAATAGGCTACCTGTCTTCCTCCTCTATGCACAACTGACCCACTCCTCAAATGCGCTTTTACCAGATCCACACACATGCACACAATTTAGAGCAACAGCTATTGCTGAGTAATTACAGAAAAGTCAAAAGTTGGTGGCAGTTTTTACCAGTAGAACACATCCACGTGCCTGGGTGTGTACCAGGGCCTGTCTTCATACCTTCCCTCTAATCTTAAGCATGCTTTTTATCTTAATAAACTGCATTTTACTTAATAACCCCCTTTTCCCCTTACCCCCCAAGTCTGTTCTTTTTAAAAAGTTAAATATTGGTCCTAACTCATGAGAACAGCAATTCAAAGGGGGAACTTTTATATGAAAATGCTCGTTATTGCATTATTAACCTTTCTTTCTTAAAAATCTCAGCAAGTCTGACTTTTAGAAAAATTGAACATTTTCTTGCAGGGTGAACGCACTTTAGCCAAATTTCTGCTCACAACCCTTACTGACTTAGAGGTACCCAAAGGTGACAAGAAAGGCTTGCCACCAGGAGTAGCAAAATCTGGAATAAAGTGACAGAGGATCAAAGCATGAAATAATTTGTGACCAGGAAAAAAAAAAAAAGCTCTTTGTCTTTTTGTCTTTTATTTCCATCTGCAGAAGTGTCTTTGGAAGCATTCAGTCTTGGTGAATCAATACTAAAAAAAAAAAAAGAAAAGAAAAGAAAACAGCCAGACTAAGGTGAAGGTATAGATGGAAGCATGGTTTGTTCAGAAGATCCATCAGTACTTTAAAACAATCTGTGTTTAACGTGGCAAATTGTGTGTCATTAAGATGCTAATGAAATGGTAAACAGCTGCTAAGTTTTTATGCTAATGAGTGGAGGAAGCTAAGTAGTTCTCCAGCCTCCAGTCTATTAGCATAGAGATGTGATTGGGTAAGGAGGATTGCAGAACATTCTGACCTTCCTTGATGGAGCAATCTGTTGGTGAGTTTCTCCACTGCATTCTATTTGGTTTGAGTTTGTTATTACAGAGTGACTCTCAGCAGGCCCTGGGGGCGTCTGTATTACACAGCTATCACAGCTACCATTGAGGCCTTATAAATGCAACTTGGCTTCCCTTTCAGAGACCTGCAGCCACAAAGGAGTTGTGTTTGTTCAGTAGGTGGCTTAGACTAATTCTACCTACTAACACTTTGTACTTTAGAATTCTAATAATTATCATGATGATAAACCACTAATGGCCATTTTCTGTAGCTTTCTGTTCAGCTACGATTTAAAAAAAAAAAGTCAGATATGCCTCTGCGACATTTTGATGCAATGATGTAATATGTCATCTTGGATCTTCAAGCTTGAAGTTAGCAGTGGAGGTAGCATTTCCTGATTAGGAGAGTAATATGAAATTAAATGCCAGTGGTATGTGCGTGCCAGGTCAAACCTGATTATCTAATTGAACATCAGAAAAAGAAAAAAAAAATCTCTGTTTCATCTATACTCTTTCCTGATTCTCTACTGAATCCTCATTTCATAGCTTAATGTCTATGGCTGACCCAAATGCCTATTACCCCAAAAATTTTTACCCTTTTTTTTTACCCAAAAATATTATCCTTTTCTCTCCTTTTTCTTTATACATATACATGTATACACACACACACACACACGCATATATTGTGTGTGTATATGATGTACACACACACACACACACACACACACACACACACACGATCAATGTAAATGAGCTATGGCACTCAGTCCAACACAGTGGCCAATACTGTCCACACCTGACTGGCAACATATATACCACCAGTTTCTTTGGAAACTCATTAGCAAAACAAGTTATCATTGAGGCAGGAGCTTCAGTAATTTGGGGACACTGTAAGAGGTTGGTGGACACTTTAAAAATTGGGACATTCTCTCACACCACTCATTGCTCCTTGAAGCTGGTGAGGAATTCTAGGTGTGAAATTATTGTGTGATACTGGATAGGCAGGCCTGTGGGAACTGAGCCCTTGTGTGCTGATGGTGGTGATGTGAAAGTCTATGCCCTCTTCACAACACCCACAAAGTGCAAGTGATCCAAATGCCCATGACCTGGTGAATGAATATGCAAACTACGGGGACGTGCCCACAGCAGAGTATCATTGAGCCGACCACACTGACGCATGCTGTTACAGTCTGACTAAACCTTGAGAGCATTCATCTCAAACAAATGAAGCCAGTCGCAAGAGACATGCTGTATGGTTTTAGTTAAATGGCTTGCTCTGGACAGATACATCTGTGCATAAAGAAAACTGATTGCTGGTTGTTCAGGAGCTGGAGATGCTGGGTGAAACGGGTAAAAAGTTTGTCGTGAAAGTGTTCTGAATGTAAATAGGATGCTCATTTACCACTCTGTGGATATGCCAAAACAACAACAACAACAAAAAACAACTATTGCATTTCTAGTTTAAGTGGATGAATTATCTGATATGTGATTAGTATACATACATATATACATACATGAATACATACATACAGGCATGCATGCTACAACTATGTAGATAGCTCAGTTGATAAAGGGCTTGCCATGCACTCGTAAGAACCCGAGTTTGAGCCCCGTATCCCACATGAAAGGCAGCCGTGGTGGCATTCTCTGAGAGGTTACTCTGGACCATTTGGACTCAGAAAACACGGTGGGGGCCACTAACAAATGACATCTGATGCTGACGTCTGGTCCCTGCACGTGCACACGTCTGCAGAAGCATGCACACACACACACACAGCAAGCCAGAGCCTGTCTCCCAGACAGCCAAGCAGGCCAGCAAACGTGTCTGTACTCTATGACTGCTAATGACCAGGAAATATGCCAACATCATTCTAAATCAACAGGTTCCCCCATCAAACCAGCTACTGAAGGAGAGAACAGCTAACTATTCAAAGGGACAGGTGCCCACAGAACGCAAGTTCACCAGACATAAAAATTAAGACAAAATGTTGAGTTCCCATCGCCAGCTCCCTGTCTGCAGCCAGACCCTAGCCTGCCTTCTTGTATTTTCTAGCCATTCCATGTCTAGACTTCCTCCTTCCCCTGGAGTAAGGACAACGTTGTGATCATTTCTAAGACAACAAATTGAGTTGTAACTGTAGCCTGTACCTGCCAAAGTCCAAGTTTCCTTCCACATAAAAACCCTGGTTAATTATCTCCGATTTGCATAAAATCTGCTGCTGGCCGGTTACTCCGAATAGAGAAGAGCATCTTGAGGGGCCCCTCCCTTACTCTCTAGCTGGTTGTGGTTCTGTGGGTTCTCAAAGGTGCCAGGAGAGTCGGGTGCCAGGACACTGCCACTGTGCCACACCTGCTGGTGGCACCTGGTGACAGTGTGTCCCAGGGAAACCCTTTGCTTATGCTCAGGACAGTAGTGCGGGTGCCCGGTCCGTGAAGAGGCCCTTTTGGCTGTATTTGCCGGGCACTCTCTTCTGCAGGTCGCAGCCGTGAGCTGCGGGCCTGAGGGGGCAGTAGGTGGGAGTGAGAGACTGAATCTGTCTTGTTTTGTTCCCGGCAGGCAGCGCATGCCACGCCACCACCCTTCCTGCCCTCGTGCGCACCCCCGCCCTCATGATGCAGCCTTCGCTGGACATCAAGCCGTTTATGTCTTTCCCCGTGGACAGTACTTCTGCTGTCGGGCTCTTCCCAAATTTTAACACGGTGAGTAACCGCCTTCTTGTTTGATTTGCGCCGCCTCGATCTCATTTCTTTGGCCACGCTCCGGGGTAGACCGTGGGTGGCTTAGGCGCCACTCCGCTGTGCCGGGGAAAGCGGCCCCCCTCTGGAACTCAGCCCAGACAGTGGCTGGCTGGCACGGAGACTTCACGGATGGCTTCACGGGTGACTGTCAGGGTCCCAAGGTCCGTCCAGCTCTGGTTAGCTTTGCCACGGCCTCGGCATCTCTGTTGTTCCTGAGGCGCTGTTCACACATGCTCAAGAACACAATTTAGAGACACCGTACCACATTGATTTTTCCAATTCTTACTATAAAGAAAAATAAAAGCAGCAACTGTGAGCTCCATCTCTCCGGGTGCGTCTGTATCGGGGAGATGTTTTAGATGAAGTGTGCCTTTCATGTAAACAGAGGTTTTCTTTGGGAGCTCTTGTGGAGTTATTGAATCTAACTGGCTCATTTTAAATCTACCCATCAGTTATCTGTACACTGTATAGCCATTCTCCATTAAACGCAGGTAAACGCAGGTAACGAATACGAGTGACCTGGCCACTCCAACCACTGTATTCAGTCAGCTGACTTTCTCTTATTCGAATGAAAGACATTTCATAGGTGTGCCAAGCAGATCTGACAACTTTGAACAGCAGGATTCTGGGCAGCTTGGAAACTTCTGGCAGGAGAAAGGTTGAACACTGAGGACACGGTGTGGATTACATCTGCACCAGAGATAAATAGATTCGGCAGGGCAGGATGGTGACCATGAATAAGAACCGCATAGATGCTGCACGATGCAAACAAACAATCCAGTCGCGTTATCACCAACACCAGACAGTGTGCTCTGGAAGCTTGCCAAATGCCGCCCCCCTCACCCCCACCCTTTGCAAACTTATCTTCTGCAGAAGTGAAAACAGCAAGAGGGTTTTTCCTCAAGGGTTGTAAATAAAATCTGTTGACGAGCCTTCTGTTGGGGCCCAGTGCTGTTCGGCAATCAGCTGGGAAAGCGCCAGACAGCCTGGTAAAGGCTCTGCCTTTGACTTAGTGGGAAAACGGTTGAATGTTTCTGTTTTCTTTGGGTTCATTTTCTGGCCAACCCAACAGGCTTTTCTGTTTGGTTTGGGTTTTGTTCTAAGGCATGAAAAGGTAAATGTGGTTTCTAGTCCAAAGGAGCACGGGACATAAGATAAATCTCAGGCCCGTCTTGGCCACATGAATCCAGCAGAACTGAGAGTGGGCCCTGCCTGAGGGAGGCCTGCCATGGACTCCGCAGTCTTTCGGAAGAGTTTGCTGTCACTTGGGATGTTTTCTAGGTATCTGTCTTTTGGTCCCCATGAGTCTGTGGACTACTGCCCAAGGGAAGGACTGTTGATAGCAGCCTGGGCGATGGAGGGAGCCTAAGTGTGTGAGCCTGTGTGTTTACTTTTTAATGCAAGTCTCACACATGACTATTAGCACAAGTAACACAGTTTTTTAAAATTTGCCCACAGGAAATTATAGCTGTCTTACAAGCACGGTCTGTTTCAAATAAAACATTCGCACTTAAGGCAAAATGAAAACCTGGTTCTCTGCCCCTGATCACACCCTGCCTCCTTGACTGGGAATGTGCTGTCAGCAGCTGGCACATTTGAAAGCTGCACATCTAACAGATAGACACCTGATTACATGTGGTTTTTACAATAGAAGATAGTGATGTTCTGCCTGTCATTGTTACAACTTTCAAAATGTCTTTCATGCTAGTGCATCTCTGTTTCCCAGGGAATCATGAAAATAAAGTTTATATTGGCTTATTCTTGCTGCATAGGGCACACAGAGGCACCGAGATGCCATATTGTTTGTTTATTGTGAATAACAAATTTATGATATACTATATTGATGAAATTCAGTGAATATTCCTTTTATACAGTTTTCTTCCTTCTTAGAAGAAAATAAGCTCTAAATTTTCAAACACTATTACTGCTTGATTACCACAGTGAAAAAAAATTGTGATAAAACCTACCAGAGATACTGATTTTGTTCAGTTTGTTAAATCCAAGTCATACCCCTTCTAGTGCTGTATTAAAATTGAGTCAGCCCTAGTGGGACCTCCCTGATACTGTTGAGCAAAGTGGTGCACAGCTAGGGAGCACCAATGGGGCCAAAACAGAAAGATCTTTTCTTCAAAGTCAGCAAAATACACAAAGATACACACACACACACACACACACACACACATTCAAAACACACACACAGATACAAACACATACACAGGTTTGTGTGTATGTGTAATTTTCTCTGAGTTGCAGTTTAAATGACTGCCCTTTCCCCCGCTGGTTTTTCCGTCCCAGCAGCCAACTCACTTAGGACTTTTCCTACCAGAATTTGAGGACACCATTGGCCACCTTCCTGAGGAAATGTTTCTGTATTGCTACTAGTAATTACACTAAATTACCATGTATTTGTGATAACTTCTATCCCTCTGAGTCTTCAGGCCTCAAGACATTGAGGAGTCAGTTCTTGTCACTCCTCTTGTCAAGAGGAGGAGCTGGGACTGGATTTCACAATCTTCTGACTATGAAACTTATGTTCCAGCTCTTTGCACTGTGGCTCTTTAGGCCCAGTCACTCCCGCTCCATTCACAGGGAACAAAGCCTAATCAGGACTCTTTCTCTGTCCACGCTGGACACATGCTAGATCATTTTCTGCAGGACCATTAAGAAAAAGAGGAAATGACTTTTGAATATGGAACACAAGCTTCTATAAGCAGTTCTGCCGAATGTATACAACAGCTGTAGATGTTGTTGGCAAAGTTCAAAAGTTACTGCGTAGTCTTTCTTTGAGGAGCAAGGTGAATTGTGCTGTCATTTATTCAGCCAGTGCTGTTATTAATAACGATTAAAAAATCAAATTTTATCTTAAGAGTAGCAGTAGAATTACTACATTTTAGATAAATGCTTTGAAAATTCCAAGCTTTGTTACCTTAAGTTAATTTAAAATACATATAGTTGGGGTCTGGAGTGAAAGCTCAGTGGTTAAGAGCCCTTGGTGCTTTTGCAGAGGACCCAAGTTCAATTCCCAGAACCCACATGAACTGGTACACAACTATCTGTAAATTCCAGCTCCAGTAGATTCAGTGCCCTCTTCTGGCCTCCACACACATGTTCACACACACACACATGCACACACACACACACACACACACACACACACAAATGAAGTAATTCTTTTAAAAAGTCATAATCAGGTATGGAGGTGCACACCTTTAATCCCAGTGCTCTAGAGTCATAGGCAGTTGGATCTCTGGGAGACCAAAGCCACCCTGATCTATATATGAATTCCAGGCCAGTCAAGGCTACATAGTAAGACTGTGTTTCAATAAACAAATAATTAATGTTTCTCTTTTGTTTATAGTACAGTGGAATACTACACGATGAATTAGAATAAAAAATGAATTGTGTCACAGTCTAAAACAGGGGTTCTCAACCTTCCTTTATTGCGGTTCCTCATGGTATGGTGAACCCCAGCCATAAAATTATTTCTACTTATATCTCATAACTATAATTTTGCAACTGTTATAAATTGCAATGTAAATATCTGATATGCAGGTGCCTTTAGGTGACCTCTGTGACAATCCCCTTCCCCAAAGGGGTCAAGACCTACAGTTTAGGAACCACTGGTCAAAACCAAAATAGGTGTCTTGTTCTTATATTTATGGTTGTGAGCCTAGCCTTTAACGGCTGAGCCATCTCTCCAGCCCAGGTGTCTTGTTTTGTGTTGAATTTACACACTGCAAAATCTACACACACTCCAGCATTCATTTAGAGGTTGTCTTGCCTCAACTCCACAACTGAGAGAATCTCTCTGTGCTATATATAACGAATAAGCAGATGGCTCAGTGGTAAGAGCTCGTACTAACCTCTGAGGGCACCAGGCACACATATGGCACATACATAACCATAGGTAAACACTCACAACTATGAAATTAAATAAACAAATCTTTTCAAAGACAATACACAAAGAGCATCAGACCCCATCCAGCAGAGCTATGAAGGGACAGGTAAGGAAATGCCCATCAGGAGCATGATCCTTTGGCCCCATGTCCTGATGAATACAGCCCGGTAAGAGCAGCCCCCAGATTCAGTGCTTATGCTGTTCAGAGGGCTGGTCTGTGTCACTGAAAGCGCAGAAGACCATGGAAACACAGACATCAATTCTCTTTAAGAATTTGACCTTCACAGCCAAGACCCAGCAGGCTTTTCTGCCTGGCTACACACTGATGCCCATTGCTGCCACTGCCCTGGCGTTCACTGTTTGTCTTTCAAGAGCAGTTTTCTTTTCATCAAGGTGGCTGCCTGCATCGTGCCATCCAGCGACTTCAGTTTTCTTATTTATATTCAGTTAGCACTCGCAGACTGGGTCATTCCTCAGCCCCACCCCCTGCCATTTTTTAAGCTGTTCCCAACTTATTAAAATTTTTATTTTTTGAGATACAACATTTTTCCTTCTCTTAACTTCTTCCAAACCCTCCCGTATGCCCTACCCTGCTCTCCTTCAAATCCATGGCCTCCTTTTTCACTAATTGTTTTTACATGCCTATGTATATATGTACATACATATTTATATTCCCAAACATAACCTGACCTAATCACAGACTCCGTCCTCCAGGGGCGTGAGAACACGAAGCTATGAGGTCTGTGATATTTTGCTGTGAGCTCAGATCGGACAGGTTTCCAACTCACACGAGTACATGTATTGGTAGGTGAAGCTTCATCTAGGAGGCCACATTCTGCATACAGGGACAGATGTGTTTGTGTACATTTTTGACTGTAGTCAGGAGCTCCCTCGGGCCCACAGCCACCCCTCAGTTTCTTCATGTGCTGACAGGTGTTTTATGAGCCTGTTTATGTGAAGTTCTTCTCAGGTCCGGCTGTGCTTCTGCTACTCTTTTAGGAAACCACAGGCACAACTGCTATTTCACAGCAAGAGGCCCAGTAACCTTATTTTTTTTATTTTT